GTGTTCAAAGGATTTTCCGGAAGAACCCTTCGCAATGCTTTCGGGAAAAAGCATTAAACAACTATGAAACAAAAAGGAACATAATACTACGCCAAACATTGAGAGAAACAAGTAAAGAAACATAGGAAGACAAAGGAACACATGGTACACAAATCTAGAAATCACAAAACAAATAGCCAGGCAAGAAGAAGAGCCAGCAAGGACACCGCAAAAAGGATCACAAGCACAGAATCAACAATCTGAAGAGGTAAGGCGGACTAAACAATCAACAGTATTCAAGGGAGGGTGGTGGGGACGGGGTTGGGGGGTCCAAACATCCGTCTAGCTCCTCATGCCACAAAAAGCTGACTCCCTGCTTGACTTCTGTCATGTCAAGTGACAGAGGGGTGGGGTTGGGGGGGGCGGGCAGGGGTCGAGCGGCCCATGTCTTTCCTATTCTATACCTATGTGGTTCTATGTTCTCAATAGTGGTCATTGTTCCTGATTGTTTAATATTTTCGGAGCTTTTTGCCCGTTTTATAGTTTTTTGGAACGGCGAACTGCTATCCGGTCAAGGCCCTAGGCTCCCTGGCTTCTCGCGGCTGACCGCCCCACCCCACACCGAATGCCGCCAGGACCCAGCTCCCGAGCTCTTTGTTCATGGTTAGGTTTCATTATTTGTTTATTTCTAGCTGCTTCTTTTGTTTCGTCCATGTTGGTTTTGTTCCGATTCTGGCTCCTTTTTTTGGCTCCAATATAGTTTTACTAGATTAGTTCCTATTTTTTCCCTATTTTACATGCCATGTATGTCCTATGTGTTTGTTTCTCAATGTTTATTGGTTTGATCACACCCAGTGGAAGCTTAACTTCCTCAACATAAATAACACAAACAATTATATATATATATATGCATATATACACATATCAACTGTCCCTTTGCACAATGCTGCAGGTTCGGTCCATGCTATAAATTGTGATCCTTATAAAGAGCAAGAATCAACGTGCATTGGGTTCCTCCTTCGGGGCAGCATTTGCCAGTGTAACAGACTTCTCAAGTGCCCCAACCCACCGTCGCCTGTTGTACTGCGCTTTGAGTACTTCAGTGTCTGCACTGATTCTCTTGGCCTGCTGCTCATGGTGCCTTACAAAGTAGCAGCACTTCGGACTACAATAATCGGTGGTGGACACTCGACAAAGGTTTCTTAGCGCCTGGTCTGCTGCATTTGTTCCGTCACCTCTCCCAGAGCAGTGACTGACATGAGCCAATCACGGAGCGACCAACTTTGAATGCTCAGGGTTAGAACAACAACTCAAAGAGAGAACGCAAAAGGACCCTGTAGCAATATCCTCAATAAGGGCACCCTCCAAAGGCGCCTATTACACAGGGGGCCTTAACTTTTTTTCTTTACTTTCTTGTGTCTTCTGATCCAACAAGCTGCAAGCAAGAATCGTACCATCCAAACACGCAAAAGCGTGACCCATGCCAGCGTGCCTGTGTTTGAACTATGGAAGTCTCGAACTCTGGAGGCAAATCGATAACCATGATCTGAAGACCGCCACAGGTAGCATAGACCTGTGCACAATTTCAATGACACCTACAGTACCATTGCACAACAAAACACTTTTGAGACCACCAAGGCCACCAAGGTCTGACGCATTCACGTGTCGAATTCTAGTATCTCCATACAGCACTTAAGGATCCCCACAGCACTGCATTGAGTATGCAATTCTTTGGGAAACTTAACCTAATAGCAATGGCCTCCAGCCAAATAGGAATGGCCTCCAACCTAGAACCAGTGTTTCCATAGCATGCATGCCCATGCTTGGAAATGCACAAACATGCCCTGCCCAGAAGCACCTGAGACAAACGCGTATTCAGGAGCTCCCGCATCTCTTTCCCAATCTTCTCTCTGTCCTGCCAATACCTTGTTCGTACCACTTTGCAGGCAACAATGAGTGCCCCTACTCCCTCTACACACGTCTATGCTTTTCATTTGCAGGACTAAGTCTGCCTGGGTCAGGTTCTGCCTCGAAACGGCTGTTTGCATCTTTTGCGTTAGAGTCGCTCAATAGCCTCATAGTCAGCGGCAGCCTTGAGCAAAACATCACCTTGGCCCGCATTGGCTGGTCACTGCCATGCCGCAAATGCCAGAGTCGTCCCGACATGATTGAACGTGAAGCAACTAACTTGTGATCAGGCATGCGTTGGCAAAGCCGGCCTACCAGCCGGGTGTATTGCGTACAAGATTGTACAAGCAAAGAGCCCAAACCAACTCCTACTACTCTACGAGTAGCACGAAAAGTCAAGGGGCCACTTTGCACAGCACAAGCAGGAGGGTCACCCCTTTGCGGACCTAGCCATCGTGGAAAAGTGGCGGCTCAACCAAAACAGGCTCAAAGCACGAGCGGCGACAGTGAGAGCTGGTGCGAAACTCAGAGAAGGAAGCTGATGCAGGTGCAGAAGGAGGGTCCCCATCCGCCGCACGCTGGTGCAGCCAGCTATGACCAGTAACCCTTGAGAAAAGCACTGGGTTTGGGTGTCCTGGTGGTGCTGTTTGCGCCTCGTATGCGAGAGTGGCGTGGCCGCCAAACAGGACACCATGCAGGAGAACCGGCCGCAGCATCCCAGATGTGACCGCGAGGTGAAAGGCCGGCCCATGGATGCCCCAGTTGCAAACCCAAACGTCGGCTGGGCGTCTGCCAGGTCCATTGTGGTCGTCCCGGTCATGCCCTTAGCCAGCATCTGGACGAGGGGGTAGCAAGCCAGGCTTTCCCACTTCAGCGTGCGTGAGCGGACGGTAGGCCGCAGGATCATGGAGGTGGGCGTGGCACAGGCCCAGCCGGCCTGCTTTTGGTGGACAAAAGGCCTGCAAGCCATGCTTGGTCCGTGGGAGGCCCAGTGCAGGGGTTTCACGGCTTGCAGTCTGGATGTCCAGTAGGTGCAAGTCCAAAAATAGGAAAACCAGAACTTACGGTGGCCTTCACAAGGCCAATGCAACCAAATGCATCATAACCTACTGTAACCTGAGCAATTCACATCCGAACCTACTACAAGAATCAAATCACATATCAGATCAACATGCCCAGCACTCAGCACACCGGCATTGCCTCACAAAGCCAAGCAACGTGCATTGCGAACAAAAAGAGGCTCATACTGCTGATTGGCAAGGGCAAACAGCTTGCCCAGGTACGCCCTATCTATCCTGGCGACTCCCAAAGGCAGGTCTAAGTCTAAGTATGTCCAAATTGCACATTCAGTTGATGACCTCTTCGAGAATCACAACGAGTCCTGTATTGGAAAGCCAGCTGAAGGGTCAGGGCCAAGCCGTCTTTCGTCCGAGTCTGAAGTGGTCCTTGCGAGTTCTTCATCGTGTCAAAAGACCTCGCTGCAATGGAGCCAAAGCTTGCTCTTTCACTCCCTCCCTCCCTCCCTCTCTCTCTCTCTCTACTTGTCAAATTCATCTAATTGTCTGGTTCTGTCTCCTGGAGTGATCTAAACAAACGCCGTCGCATGCCCAAACGAAGGACGCGCAGCCAAGTCTCACTGTGACCCTTGTGGAGGGAAAGGCCAGGAAGCTCTTCCAGGGGCCAATTAAATGTCTGCCTCCTGCGGCAAGAGTGACTGACAAGCAAGCAATGCAAATGCAAGCATTGCAGGGCCGTTTGATGGTTTGATCCAATAGTAAGTTCAGTCCTTCATAAACTATGTCGGAATTGACTTGCTTCGTAATGAGATTAACAGTCAATCCGTACTGCAAAGGTGTGAGGGTGCCTGTCAGGGTGGCAATGGACATTGTCTGCCAAAAAAATTGTGTCTTTGCAGCAGCACAGCGCAAGAAAGCCTCCCTCAGCAAACCACCCCGAGGCACCTACAGATAGCAGCAAAAGAAGGAAGCAGCAGCAGCTGCTACCCATCACTGCAAGCCGCTTGTTTTGGTTGTCTCTACCTGTGAACGCTGCTGGCATCAATTTTTGACTGGGCCAGTAGTGCCCATGTTTGCGGGCACAAGCAAATTATTGGATTGACTAGAGCGCCACTTTATCGCCTTTTTCTTCTGCTAAGGCTGGTCAGGCATGGTCTGAAATGAAAATCGCTGTGGTTACTAGCTGGGAAAAACGTCTTAAAGCGTGCAATTTGTAGTATGGGGCCTCAAGGGAAGGCTTACCATGTAGCAAGTCATGCCAAGAGCATGCGCGCTGTACTCTGAATTAATTAACTGAGATCTTTATGTCATCTGCTTCATCTAGCTGGCTGATTCTCAGGGTGGAGTGGGCCGCCCACAGCATATGCGCCAGATGGCACGTCAGGATGTGGCTGCGCAGAATACTGAACAAACTCCGGGCCAGCCATTTTGGTGCCGTCATTAGTGAGCACTGCCACAGAAGCCATGTTGCCAGCTTTGTCCACCTAACAGCGGGTGACATGCAGCATCGAAGGCACGGTGTACAATTGCAGAGCAGGACATTATGATAATATAAATAATATGGTGATTCTCAAGGGAAAAAGAGATGAAGAACAGGTATATATATAATAGATTATAATTAAGGTTACCTTTTTTCATCTCTTGCTGCGTTTGAGCGCCAAGTTGCGTAATTGGGGGCTGAGAAGACTGTGATCAAGGGATACTGACCTTCGTGATCATATCTGTAGCCCTGAGCCTTCACTTCGTGGGAGCGGAGTGTCATTCTGAGACCGTTGTACTCCATGAAGTTCTTTGAGACATCTGGACCAAACCTGCAACAGCATTGACATCCATGTTTTCTATGATTTCCGTGCATGATTTCAGTTCAGTGCATTCCGAACAGCTGTGTGCCATATGCAAATTAACTCTTCTAACATCTGCTGCCCCCGGCTTTTCGTTTGTACCAACTGCATCTGATTGCCACCAGGGTGCAAGTAGATACCGGAAGACATTCGGCCGGATGGCCCGTAACCGTCTTTGCCCTTGGGGTCTGACCAAAGGAGGTCAACCATGAGCGGATTCTCATCAGGGTTTGGCTCCATGAAGCGGTTGGAGTTCTCAATCTCCTAACGAAACGTGAGCTCGCGCGTTGATACACTTGCACGCGACAAAATCAGAACAAATCTGCTTAAAGCAGTGTGCTCAACGGTGTAGCGTAGTACCAGTGAGTGCTTACATAGTGCTTGCGTGGGCGCAATAGTTGCTCACTGGTCCAAACAAACCATGGCCATTGCTTTCTTGTGAGACATGACGAAATCAAGCTGGGAACTGGAACGAACAAAAGCCGCCGATGCATTTGGGTGATGAAACAACGTTGATTGATACTACCACTTGCCACCACGCGTCTGACAAGCTAATCTGAAGCTGACGACCATCGAAGCTGATCTGATTGTCCATGCCCTTCCACCACACTCGAGGATCAGGTCCTGGGATGCCTCCATGCACAACAAAGATCTCATTGTTGATGACGTGGCACAATGGTGTGGCTCGGAAGATCTCAGCAAACAAATCTGTCATACGCTTTTCGTACTTCACCTCGAGCTCTCCAAAGAAGCCATAGAAATGGTTTGCCATTTCAGCCTCATGATTGCCACGGTTCATGCCAACACCGTTGGGTTGCCAAACCTTGAAGGCCAGAATGGTGAACATGACCTCGACACTCCACGGTCCGCGATCTACGAAGTCACCATTGAACAAAAACTGATTGTCAGCTGAAGGGAAACCTGCGAGGCTCAACATGTGATCAAAGTCGAAGAGCTGGCCATGAAGATCGCCCACCACAGTGACCTTCTTTCCCACAGGCACGTTGATCCTTCCAAGGGTCTTTTCCTTCACCAGGATGTCAAAGGCATCAATTGCCAGCTTGTAAGCATCCTTCATGGGCAAGAGCTGGCCATTCCTGGTTGTGGTGGGGGTCTTCTTAGCCCTTAATTATAGGGAATGCATGCCGCATGCCAAGCCCAAAATTCCTTCGCGCACTCCTCTTCTACGCATCCTTTTTTCTTTTCGAATCATCTCCCTGTATCACGTCATCTGTCTTGTGCATCTACGAGAAAAGGTGCAAAGCATTGCCAAACTTTTGGGGTCATACGGTAAGTCATACGATCTTATTTGTTTTTTGACACTTTTCTTTGGCCAAGGGTCTTAAAGCTCTGCACCATCTGTCGAATGGAGGCTTCGTTCAACGAGGATGGGCCCATGTAGCGGGGCCCATTGTGGCCAACAGGTTCCGGCATGGAAGCCACTGCACCTCGCAAGGTCTCAACGACTTGACTCTGGTAGTTCGCCGGGGCCACTGGGATCTTGTACCTGGTCGTCTCAAGTCTGTTTCACATATTCTTCATTCCAACTGCCAACCCCAGTTTCAAACCTATGAAAATCCCACCCGGAAAGGCTTGTGATGGAAACGGTTGGGGAGTCAAGGTTCAACCAGTGACACAATGTGTACCACCATTACGTCAAAACCCATTCCGTTGCATTCTTTGGCTCAATCAATTTCCTCATCTATCCTCCAAGATGCTCCTTGATGGTGGCATCTCTGGGCAAATCCTTGAAGCGATCGTCTGATCGGTCGATTCCCGGGCTGGTCTCTCCATGAGAAGGAACTGGAGCTCCAGCAGCAGCATCTTTGAGCACGGCATACTCAATGGAGACCTTAAAAACAACCAAGCATCAAACAAACACAAACTGGACGATGCAGGTTCGTGCCCAGAAATGACAGACCGGCACACTTTCAACATGCATGTACATAATCTATGTATTGTATACGTATATATTTAAATGATATGTCACATTACGCAAAAAGTACAACTTCATCCCCCTTGTGACGTGCCTTCAACACTATAGTATTTCTTATTATTTCTTGATCGATTATGAACCGCATGGCCCCACCCAAACGACGGAAGCCAAGCATTTCATGGCAAAACACGGGAAGCTCAGCAGGCTTGTTGCCCATGCTGCCACTGCCGCTTGATTGAAAAATGCCTGCTGAATTGTCCAAGATCTTGTCATCGAGCAGGTCCATGATATCCCAGAAGTCCCAGGTGCTCACCTGGCCGTTTGGCAGCGGACTTGTTACATAACATATGGTCATGTCCTTTCTTGTCCCGTCAGCCGTCAGCCTACTACTGAGTAAAATACGGCGTCACCCCAAACCATGTGCATAAAGTTAGAGGGCTTCCAGAGTCCCTTGAAGCACGCAAGTCTTGCAAACAAAGCACATCAACTCCGGCCACTTTCTTCACTGCCATAAACTGCTTGGCACCACCCACAAATGCCTGGCCCTGGGGGTCACCAGGATACCTCGACAGCACGTCTCATTTGTATGCATTGCATTATGTCAATATATGTCGATGCTGTGCAACTTGCTGTGCCCATTCGGCTCATTGCCCGGCCTTGAGCCCTCATTCATCTTCCAGATCATGGCGCCTTTACCGGAGGTGCTGGGGGCATAAGCCAAGACTCCGAAAGGACGCTTCTTGTACTCCACGGTGACGCTGCCGGTGACGCTGGAGGCATCTGATGCGTCAAAGGTTTTGGGCTCTCGGACCTTATTCCCTTCGGCTGTCACGCATCGAAGCAGCACGAGGGATGCGAGTTGCTGGTGACGATCTCAGAACCGGTTGGACTGGCGCGGTGAATGACAAGACCTGAGGCATGAAGCTTAGGGAGCAAAAAAACCTCTGCATTACGGTGGGATCAATTAAATCTGTGATGCCTTGATTCTTGTGCATCTTTTGAGCACATACATATTCACGCAACGCTTGATCGGCCTCGGTGGCTAGCCGGCCTGCTGCCAGCAAGGTGCACACCGCGACCTCATCATGACAAACGGCCAACACTGGCCGAGCACCCCTTCAGGACGTCTGTCCAAACCATGCGAAGTCCGCTCCAGTGTTCAACGGGGCCTCGTTGAAGGGGCCCTTGCCTTCATTCTTCATCTTTTTGTCCATTCGTTTTTGTCATTGATTCTGAGTGGTTGATCTTCACTACAAGTTTCATCAAGGCACTGCGGCTGGCAGCAAGGCAGGTCGACGCATCGATGACATTTGCGCCATGGCCAAACACTGCAAACTTTGCCCGAGGTAACGTTTGAGCCACTTTCTGTTGTCATGAGTGCATATTGTCTCCTTCCCACAGGAATTAAGACCTTGCACATGCGCGGTGCCATGAATTGACTAAAGCTCAAAACTTGACATCCTTCAGCCACTTATATATTGCTCAATTAAGAAGCTACTAGGGGCTCCTGGCCGTACTACTAGGAGCAAGGACGCTACCAGGGGCTCCTGGCCTTACTACTAGGAACAAGTAGACAAGAACATTTCAAATTCAAGTGAAGGACCGAAGGGCCTGGGGCAAAGCGCTGCAAAGACTCCACGAGGTTTTCCAGTTCCAGTGGTTGGCGAGCCTTCTGAACGCAAGATCGAAGTTGCACACTGGATGTCCCACTCTGCGATATGATATCAACATTGAAGAGTTGCCAGAGCTAAAACCTCAGTCATGGCTCAGTCGTACAGGCTATTGATATAGCCATAGCTACGAGTATCTCCTCTCCAGCCTAGTTTGACTCTGCCTGCCCCTTTGAATATCGTTCGTCTATTTCTGCTCTTCTCCCCCTCTCTATATACAGCCAGCTATATATTTTTATGTCAATTGGATTCAATTGGCACTTGTACGTATGCAGTTGTCTTGCTGCTTTTATGGTGTCCGGATGTGTCCGGTGTTGATCGTTCTTGCTACTTGACATCCAGTTCCGTGGTTCCCGCCTGGTGCTGCCACTCTGCAGCCTGCGCCTGGCGATATCCTTCCAAATCATCCATTGGCTCAAAGGGCACGCCGAAATCTTGTTGCTGAGAGGCGTGATGGTCGGAGGACCCGATCCAAATACGAGAATGTGCAAATGGTATCAAATGGTGACAGTCTGTTACATGCTAAAATGACACCACACGTCCAATTTGACTGTTGTGTTTTCGGACATTTACGTAGTTGTCACATGATTCCACATGTGCTAGCTTGAAGATTCTACAGGTTTAGGACTAGTGACTAGTTACCTGAGCAGGATAATAGGACTTGTTTGCAAATTTATGGAGTGATTGACTGTGTTACCTGGTGCATGTGGTTTGCTGGTGCCCAAGCTGCCGCAACAATAATCGCTGAATGCCGTCATCAATTGGTGTTGTGATGTGTCATGTGCACCTTCTAGCAGCCACCCCATCAAAACATCCCGCAACATGGTGTCAGGTCACACTTTTGCGATGGCTTGCGCAACCTGCCCCAGGCTGAAGTTGACTGAGATGTTAAGAATCGTCCGGCGTATTCGATGAATCCAAATCAATGTCCTAAGCCAACATCACAACTTACAAACCACTCACTTGGTCCTGGTAGACCACAATCGCACACGGTGCCCCATGAGTGTGGTGAACTTAAATTTGTCCAGGGTTCATCTTTGATCCCAAGCACAGAATGCTCGGCGGGGTGATCGCGCATAGCCCGGACCTTCATGAGTGTTCTTCCAAAAGGATCGTTGGACTATCTGACTATCATGACAAAGCGGACGTTTGCGAACAAAAGTTGTCAGTCGAAGTGGTGCGAATGCAATGAACCTTCATGTACTTCAGCAGCTTGCTGGTATCACCTTGAAGTATCTCCTGGCGGGACACGCTTCAACAGTTTAAGGGAGCACTACTGATGTAGTAGTGTTGTTTGAGGATGATCAGTCTGCAACATCGTGTCCGGATTTCTCAACTAGCCCCTAGGATCTCTAAAGGGAACACTGTAGCCCCAGCTAAGTTTTCACATGCTGTGCCCTTGTGCTAATCAATGTTCACCATGCAAATGATTGTGGCAAGGCTCCAGCACTTTCTGAAACGCTGATGCAGCGCGCAGCTGTGTTGCATTCAAGCCTCGGTGAGCCAAACAACTCCTGATGAGTGAGACTGGGAGGTAGTTGCACAGCACGCTCAGCGCTAGATCGACGACGTTTCATGACCCGATTTTTCCAACCTTGGTTTGTAGCTGAAGCCTAGGGACTCTGTATCGCCGCAGAATTCTTCAACTTGATTGATTCCTTGGTATGTCAGTGGGAGGGCCTGTGTCTCATGGTTCGTTCATGTTCATCCAAGTGCTGCAGCCAAGTTGGGATGTTTCTTGCACCCTTTTCACTTTCGGAACCCAAGTCGTGGGCGGCTCTGGTGAGCTTCTTGTCTGCTCAGCCACGGAAATAGACTTAGGGCACTTGCAGCGCTGGCATCTGTGTCAGCCTGTCCGCGAGAGACTCAAGTCTTGTCCACAAAGTCCTTGATGATGTGTGGTGTCAGATTTGACCACGGTGAGAAGATCTTCGTGCTTTTGCTTCTTGAGGTGAGCCACACAGCCTTGGTCCAGCTCAGTGGTTGCCCAATCGGAGCCTTTCCCTCTGCCAATTTTGCCTGAGGAGCTACAATGGTCTTCAGAGGATGCGACCCTCCCAGCAATTGTCATCAAAATACGGTAATTGATTCCTGGAACAGAATCAAGGGCTAGGCAGCATGTGGCTGAAGCGACCATTTCTTTGCAAATGCAAATTGTCTGCCTGATTCCCTCTCTCCAGCCATGCCTTGACTTTGGCTTTTCATGGCTTTTCCGTGCCTGAACTGCCACAGCTTCCAAACCAACGAAACTCTGTCAGCGCAGCTGCCTCACGAAGCAAAACTCTACCAAAGTGTGACCCTCGTTCAAGTCGTAGCTGCAATTCATTTGCAGGCAAGATGCTTGCTGGCCTCCTCTGTGCGCCAAATTCTGCAATAATTTGGTTGGCCCCTGCCTGGAGCTTCTTTAGCCTATCACGCATTTTATGCAATCCTTGGTCCCAAGCCGTGATTGGATTTGTTTCTGCTATGCAAGTTGGTACTGGTCTGTGCCCAGGCTCTTTTGAGGAGCCTCCGGCACAAGAAATTGCGCACATGCTTGCAAATGACCTGTACAACAAAGGAAATCTCGAGCACAGCGCAAACAATTGAATGATTGAGGAGGCTCAGTTTCGCAGTCCTATTGACATCTTATGAAATCTTGTTTCGGGCGCACCTCACTTGCAGCCGCCAACTGCTCAATTCGCCTCCGAGCTATGGCCCCTCGCGCTACAGCCTGCAAGCACCGAAGCCCAGCCTGACGATGCTTCAACTGTCGCGGAGTTGTACGAAGCTAACCCAAAAAAACGCCGAAACTGAGTGGGGAAAGGATGGAACCGGTATTCAACCTACTAGCGATGGCATCCAACCCACTAGCGATGGCCTCCAACCTACTGGCGATGGGCGCCAACCCACTCCAATCTACCAGTACTAGCGATAGCCTCCTACCTACAGTTACCGATAAGCTCCAACCCACTAGCGATGGCCTCCAACCTACTAGCGATGGGCTCCAACCTACTAGCGATGGGCTCCAACCCACTAGCGGATTAGCGACGGCCTCCCCAACCTTCTAACGAGGACCTCCAACCTACTGGCGATGGGCTCCAACCTCCTAGCAATGGCCTCCAACCTTCTAGCGATGGACTCCAACCTACTAGCCATGGGCTCCAACCCACTAGCGATGGGCTCCAACCTACAAGTGATGGGCTCCAACATACTTGCAATGGGCTCCAACCTACTAGCGATGGGCTCCAACCCACTAGCGATGGCCTCCAACCTACTGGCGATGGGCTCCAACCCACAAGCGATGGCCTCCAACCTACTGGCGATGGGCGCCAACCCACTAGCGATGGCCTCCAGTGATGGGCT